TAGGTGACATCTGTAGACAGATTTGACTGTACAGATACCATATTTATGTACTGAGTCTCATTTATAGGAGATGAGGGACAACCACTTGTCAAGAAATATGCTACTTATATTGCTTACCCCTGTAGCCTGTGTAAATATCAAAGCCTGTTACTTATAAACGAGAGATAATAATCCTGCCTGTAGGATATTTGTTCCTTCGCTCCAGATTTTAGGAATATATAACAAATAACGAATAATGATGATATCTAAAACTCTTGCAAAGAAACATAGTATTTGGACAGTTATAAAATGAAATTGTTAACCATTGGTAGAGAAATGATTTTAAAAAATCTGTTACATCAGTTTATAAAAGAATCATAGTTTTGGTTTTATTTTTCAAGTCTTTTCAAATATCTTCTCTCCATGTGCAGATGCCTAGTAAATTACATTGAAAATGCAGTTGATGTAAAAATGACATTAATGTGGAAAGTTGTCATTTTATCACCTCTAGTTCTAAGTAATCAGTAACTATACTTTAAAAAAATAGTCCTTATTTATTTTGACAGATGTAGGGTACATTCAACATACAAATACAGGGTTTGTGATTATAAGCAAACTGGAACTTTAAGTTACCATCATACTTGCTTTCCAGGTGGGAGAGATAGTTCAATAAGCTGAGCACGCTTTGCATGTAGGAGGTCAAAGTTTGATCTCTGCTTCCCATAGGATCCCCTGAACACCATGAAGTGTGGCCCAAACAACAACAACAAATTTGCAGCACCCTCATGCAAAGAGGCACAGAAAATGCAGCACTTAGGCCCAGAGCGTGGCCAGGGACACTTCTAGACATGGAGTCTGAGTTCCAGCACCCAGCACCTCCCGCCTATCTTTCATACAGGCCCAAATCAATCTTAAGTTATTGCCAGACTTTGCCAGCATTGAAATAGAACTTCAAAGGGGGAAATGAGACAGGATGGCAACTCCTTCTAAACTAAGGGAGTAGAACAGCTAGAGTTCCCTGTTGTTGGATGACTGAGTTCTCAGCCAGAGGGCAATCGGCAAAAGGATTACTTGATGGTGGAGAACTGTCTCTCCCCTTTTCATCACCTTTCCCTTGGCCTAGACCAAATGCAAAAAGGAAAAACTGTGGGTCAGGAGGACCCCACTGCCAATGGGAATGATTAGAGGAAAAACTAAATATTTCTCTTAGACTGTTCCTAGTAGATGTAAAACTGTCATATTTGCTTTTCTCATGTCATCTCTTGTTTTCTTAAATAGTTTTGACTATTATAAACTGCCCAGATTTCACTAATCCTAGTAAGATGGGCATGCAAATTCATATTCTGCATGATTTGGTGGGTCTAAAGAATGTCAGTTAGGGGTGTTCATTCACCAGCGTTCTCGTTGATGGTCTTTGTTAGCAAACTGAATCATGCTAGCTTGGGTCATCTAGCATTTCAACTTTAGGAACATGAAACAGGGAAGGAAATGCTCTTCTCTGTGTGCCGTCAGTGCCAGGGCACTGGAGCTTGGCCCAATGGTCTGGACGGTGTGTTCAGGACTGCCCCAAAGGCCAGTTGCAGTGAATGAATCTCTTCCCCAGCAATCTGATATTCAGGTCAGATGCAGCTCAGGAGCGGCTTCAATAATCAGAACCCCGTGGCTAGGAAAATGCTCATGTGGGTTCTGATTTGGGATCTCGTGAGTACTAAAGCAGGTGGGGCAACACTAAAACAGCTCTTCCAGTGGAAATGGCTGCAGGATGAACTGCTGTGCTTTTGTCTTCAACTGCATATTCAGTGGCAAATTCTAAAAGGTACACAGGAAAGATAATGCATTTTGTTTACACTTTTATTTACCTATGATTCATGCCAAAATCCCCCAGAGAAGCCCACATGAATTTTAGTTAATGCTTCAATGTCTAACCCTCGAGCTAAATATATTTGGGGACAGGATGGGCCACACCCAGTGGTGCTCAGGGCTTGCTTCTGCCTCTGAACTCAGAGATCATGCCTGGTGGGCTCAGGGGACCCTTTTAGGTACTGAGAACCAAAATGAGTTCAGTTGTATGCAAGGCAAACACACAACTTGCTTTAATATTGCTCTGGTCTCCCTCAAGCTAAATCCTTCAAGACTTAGTCAGGTTGAGGAGCTTCAGAGCAGATACTGATTGAATAATGGGAGAAGATAAAAAGAATTCCCTTGGGGAAAAATTAATTTTTTTCCATGCACCAGGCCAAATAGTTTACAGGTGCAATGTTTGATAAAGGAGTTTCCTAAGAGAGTTATTTTGAGGCTGGAATCCTGCATATTTCATAAATGTCAGTTTTTACCACACTGACTCTACACCACTCTACATCTACTGGGGAGGAGGAAATAAGCACAAAATAGAGCAAAGACAAATTGGAAGAGGACCAACAGTTCAGTGCAGTCTCTGTATCTGGGCGGCCTGAGTTTGCAATTTGATTGCCACCTATAAGCTATGTGACTGGGAAAATTTATATTTTCCTCTGTGAACCTTATTTTTATTATAAATAATGGGATCATAAAAATATTGTATAGAAATATCAGGAAATTTAAGTGAACTGTCATATGTGTATGCATGTACATAAGATATATATCCTTAGACCAATGCTTCATAATGACAATGAACATTACTATTATTACTGTTGTTACATTTGTTTAGTATATCATATAGCACCTTCCATCTGAGGAAAACCAGTAATAGTAATGATTCTTATCTATGTTATACTTCTCTAAATGATGGAAAAGAGGCGAAGGGTACCTGCTAAACCGTGTTCTGAGTAAGGTCCCTTACCTACCCCAACTCCTGACACTATTATTCAAAACGAAGTATATTTGCCTCTTATGTTGCAATTAAGATTAAAGTTTAACTTAATACTTCTATAGTTCCATAATGTAGAAGGCAATTTTAACACAACTCACAATTTCTTTCTCAGGTACTTTAGTCAAAGAACAAATTTTGGTGTTAAGACTAAGTTTTCCTTTCCTTTCCTTTCCTTTCCTTTCCTTTCCTTTCCTTTCCTTTCCTTTCCTTTCCTTTCCTTTCCTTTCCTCTCCCTTCCCCTCCCCTCCCCTCTCCTCTCCTCTCCTTTCCTTTTCTCTTCTTTTTGTTTGTGCTGCTTTTGGGCCACACTCAGCATTGCTCAGGGCTTACTGCTTCCTAACTCTGTGCTCAGGGTTCACTCCTTGCAGTATTCAGGGGATCAATCTAGGTCTGTAGCGTGCAAGGCAAGTGCGTTACCTGCTGCAGTCCAAGTCTTTGTTTCATTAATAATTGTTTCTCTCTATCCATCCCCCTTTAAAATTTTGGTTTCTTCATCTACCTTATGACATAATCAACATTTACAAAACACTGCCATCCAAAGAATCTACAATTTAAGAAGTAACAATAATTTTCTTCTGGAGAATAATAAATGTGAATCTGACCAAATGATGAACATTGGTGGTTTCTGTAATATCTCTGTTTAGATGAGGATGAATGCTAAGAGGGAAGATTCTGGCTTCTGTGGCCAACCTAACTTTTCATTTCCAGGGTTGATATGAAGAGGAAAGGGGTTAACAGGTTCCACAACACAGCAAACATTTTAGAAAAACAAAAACAACGTACACACGCATACACATATACACACACACGTATATATGTACATGTATATATACATACATATATACACTTATATATGTATAGATCAATGTAGATGCACACATAAATATATGCAATTCAAACCAATATTCCTTACTGACATCAGTTTATACATCCATAAATTATTTTATTCTACTAGAGAAAAACGAAGACATTTATTTTCTTTTTATGAAACAACACAGTGACCTTGTAGTAAACAAACGTCTTTAATGTTCTTTCCTCTTCCTCATCACCTTTAGCTTTGCCCACACCCAGACCCAGGATCCTGTCCACTTTATGAAAGGGATCAATCATGCAATCATGACCAGAACAGCATTGGAGGTATTGGAGTTTTCACAGACATTTTGTTCCTCTGTGGCAATTCCTAGCTCTTCTTGGAGCTCTGGAGATGGTTGGGTTTTCTTGGTGCTTTTTTTCCTTTTTTTGTTTGTTTGTTTTTGTTTTTGTTTTTCATCCAGACAAGGATGGAGGGAGGGGTGGAATTTTTAGGAGAGGAGACAGAAAAATGTTCCTTTTTTCATCGTAATTGTTCCTTGTAAAAAATAATATGAACATTCACACACATACACACAAACACACACACACTCTCTCTCTCATATACACACTATATATATATATATATATATATATATATATATATCTCCAATGCAACTGCAATTGTTGTACAAAACCCTGGGAAGTGCTACCTTGGTTGATGTATTTCTGGAGTTCTAAACAGTTGTCCCACAACAGCTGCATTTCAGTAAGACTTGGGCAGGTGGCTCCAGAGAAGCCACTTGCCACTCACATGCATGCTGAGGCTTCCATGATCACAGTCCAAAGGAAAGAGTGTATCTTTGTGTCTGGGTGGGTGTCCGGAGTAAAGGAAGAGCAGTAAGGGAGCTGAAGGAAGAAGTCCGCATCTTTCTACCCCTCTACCATAGTCTTCAATGAAAATACAAATACATTTGAAATCTGAGGATACTGACAGCAGCAGTGTGAGAATCACACTACACAATGAAATAATTCACATCCGCATAAAAATATTCACACCAAAAAGTCTTTTTTCTTTCCCTTCTTCTAAGAAAAATTAGGATAGATCCTATGTGATTTAACCATTGACCATTTCCAGCAATTTGGTCAAAAGTCTTAAACATAATTCAGCTTCTTTGGATCTGCTTTTCAACAAAAAGAATTAGTGTTTTTTTTTTTTTTTAGATAAAATTTCTGTAGATTTTTGCTTTGGTTTTCCCAGCACTGGAGAAGTCTGAAGTCTCTGCCTTCCCCCACGTCCATGTCCAGAAAGTGAGGGGCACAGATGCTGAGTCTCCAAAGCTGGTCGGAAGGGAAAGGAAGAGGGGAACCTTGGATCGGCAGATCAGCTCAGGAGGGACGCACCACAGAGGGAATAACGACGAGCTGCAAACCAAGATCACAAGCCGTTACAAACCCATTTCAGCTCATTTCAGCTCTGTGTCACCAACAAAGTCATGCAGAGACCTACAGGGAGGAAGCTGGGCTGTCTAAAACCAGTACAGATCCTTGCTTTTGTCCCGAGGCTGCAAACCTGAAAACAGAGAGCAAATAAAGGAAAGGGGGGAGAAGAGAGAAAGGAAGGGGGGGGGAGGCACAAAATGTTTAAGAAAAGAGAAAGTCAAATGCCACCATTTCATTGTGAAAGTCACAGATTTTTATCTAAAGGATGTGAATGACAGTAAATGCAAAGCCAACAGAAAAGCCAAATCTTAACCAGAAGAAAGTGGGGAGAGGGAAAATCTATTAGCTATCACATCAACTAGACACCAAATCATAAGCTTGTCTTAATAACATAAGCAGGAATGTAAGCTCTATTTTCAATGTGGCTTTCAAATTCGGAGTTTTTTTTTTATTTCCAGGAAGGCTTATTATTATTAAAATCATAGGCTAAGTTCTTCGTTTAAAGTGTCTTATTTAACTAGAGAATTTAAGGTGTTCTCAGAGACATATTTTACTTTCCTTATAGCTGCCAGGTGATCACAAGCCCCCTCCCACTATAAAGGATTTTAAACACAGTCTTAGCAGGGACTCTAGATCAGCGCTGTCTGTGAGAAACAAAACACAGTGGGTGCCACAGACTGAATTCTAAATTTCTAGCAGCCTCATTGGGGAAAGGTAAAGAGAAACAGGTGAGAATCAATCTTAGCAAAATATTTTATTTAACCCAATATGTTCAATATGCAACATGCTGAAAATATTTCAACATGCAATCAATAGAAAAATATGAGAGATGTTTTACATTTTTCTTTTGCAAACCAGAGTGTATTATATCAACTTACAGCGCATCTCACTCGGCTTAGTCATATTTCAAGTGCTTAACAGACGCATGTGGCTAGAGCTACAGAGTCCAACAGCGCAGAGCTAGAACCTTTCCAACACATTTGACGCACCCCTGCACCCTCGTCCCCCAATCCTCCCCAAGTTAGGGCAAGTTTCTGTTTTTCATTCTACCCACACCAGGGTCACACTGTTTGCCGCTGGCTGAAACACAACCCAGCCAAGCAGACCTTTTGGCTTCAGGGTCCCTGGGATCTCCGAGAACCACTAAGGGGGCCCAGGGCTCAGGCCAGCGTTGAGCACAGGGTCGAAGGGCCCCCAGGAGGCCAAGTGCCCTGTCCTGCTTACCTGAGTCCACGGTGAGGCCCAAGCCCTGGGCCATGTCCCCCGCGGGGTTCGCGAAGGGTCCCCCGGGCGGGGCCCACGCAGGGCCAGTCGGCTCGCCCTTGGCTGGGAGCTCGCAGGGCGGGCTGCCGGGCGCGGGCGCCGAGGCGGGCGCGAGGCGGGCCGGGCGCCCGGAAGGTGCGGGCATCAGCAGAGGCCCGTAGCGCGGGTCGAAGTGCGGCGCGTAGACCTCGTGCACCGCGGCTGGCCGCGGGTAGGCGGCGGCTTGGGCGCCCAGGGCACCGCCCAGCGCGTAGTGGTGGTGCGGGTGCGGGTGCGCGTGGTGCGGGTGCGCGTGGTGCCAGGGCTCGGCGGCGCCCTGGTGCAGGTGGCTGTGCAGCGCGGCCGGAGAATAGGGGTCGGCGGCGGCGAAGGGCAGCTCGGAGTGCGCGGCGGCCAGGGGGCTGCCCAGCGGCGCGGGCACTGGCGCCTGGTACGCGCTGTTCCAGAAGGAGGCGGGGAAACTGCGCTGGCTCATCGGGAAGGAGCCGTCTGCAGGCCGGGAGTCCAAGGGGAGAGAAGGAAGAGAAGAACGCGTCACCGCCCGAGATGCCAGCGCCGACCCGACCCCGCTGGAACGCTCCCCAGCGGGACGGGCCGGGGGTCCCCGGTGTTAAAGGGTGGTGGGAACCGCACAATGGGTAGGGCACCCCTGGGGAAGAAGCTTCGCTTTCCCACTGTGCAGGTTAGTCTCCAGTGAGAAAAAAACAGAAGAGTGAGAAAGGAGAAATACACCCGACCTAGTCCAGGTTTGGGGGCCCACAGAGCTCCCCGACTCTGGGGCGGAGCGGCTTTGGCCTAAGGCGGCCGCGTTTTCCCAGCTCTCAGGCTCTGCGGCCGCCGAAGAAGATACCACTTCCCAAGCTTGGTCGGCCGCCTAGCAATCTCTCTACCCCCTCTCGCGTTTCAGTCTCCCTTGCTTCAGAAAATGTACCCCTCCAAGACCTCTGATAGACTGGAAGTCGTTGACATATTTCGAAGTCTTGCTATTATTAGCCTCCTTACTAGAAACCTTTCAATTTCCCCCCCAAGAACTCAAGCAAAAGAGTAAACTAGATAAAAGGGCAGCTGCAGCATTTGTACAGTGTTACTTTACAAAATTTCTGCAGGAAATAATAATACTCATTGTTATTTTTGTCTGTGTCATATAGATTCCTAGTGTTTGGAAGCATAACAACACTTTAGAAAGGTGTTGCCTGTCTTAAAAGGATGATTTCAATTAGGAAAAGTTCCAAGAGCATCTCGAACTTCTAGAAAGTCATCTGTACCCTGTACTAAAGAATTGTAGATGCTTTAAAAACGCATTTTAAATGCAAAGTCTTCCTTTTAAAAATATTTAGGCAACCAAAGAATGCACTGTATTTAAAACTAATGTTTTGTATCTAGTCTAAGTTAAAGTTTGAGTAAACTGTTAGAACTCAAGAAAAAATGGTAAGATGAGAGTTACCATTCCAATAGTGTTCACTTTTACAACAAAATCCTTATTTTCCAGGGATTCTACTGATTTATTTTCAAAAAACTATGCTCAAGGAGAAAGTTTAGTAGTTAGTACCCAGCGTTAGTAGCAAAAGGTAGTCGAGATTTCAAGGGAAAAGGGAGATTTAGTTGACTAGTTTGAAAATTCACTGTTCCAGGCTAGATAAAGTAGTGTTTAGTGGGAAGAGTAGAAGAAAAAATACTAGTATATTTGAAGGAAAAAATCTTTAGATATTCTTAGATTTTATTTCATTGTTACTTTACTTGCTTATTGAAAGATGTTTTCAGCTTCAAGATTTCCAAAGTAACTGTCATGGTAAAGGCATATGTAGATTTAAGGAGTTAGTCTTCAGCAGGTTTTGCTTACCATGGGGGAATGAATGGTGGGGGATGAAGTGGGTCTAATATTTTTTCCTGGGGGCATATTTCAAGAACTAGGTAATAGCCCAATTATTTGCGGTTGAAGATATCTTTCTCCCTAGTTAGGTAATGTTGGAAAATAACACATTTCTATGAAACATCTGTTGGTCTTATTCCAAACTGCAGGTATAGTTAAGAGGGACAGTATTAGTCTAATTTTAGAAACTAGTAAATAGAATGACCTCAAAGATGCTAAGAGACTTGTCCAAGGTTAGTGGTAGAAAATAGTGGAGCGAACCACAAACCCAGGCTTCCTCATTCCACTCTGAGTGTTGTTTTATGGATCAATGCTCTGTTCTGTTCTTCCAAGGAAAGTGTTTATGCCTGTCCCCTTTCCTTCTCCTATTACCTTACTTCCCCCAAATCCCTTCCTCACCCCTTCCCTTTTTCTTTTTCTTGTTTTTCCTTGACCCTTATAGCTGTTATGTATGTTCAGAGAGATCTTTATTGACCATTGTTGGTGGTGTCCATACTCACCCCTCCAGGGACCAGAACTTCTGGGAACTTTGCTCGTACAGCTGGGGGAATAGCTACTAGGCTGACTTAGGGCTCTGCTGAAGTGTTCATCCACCACTGAGCTGATGTCCCCTTGGAAATAGGTGAAGAGGACGCAGCGAGAGTTGATGTACTCTGCCTCAGGTGGCCGCTCTTTCTCTGGGCTGCCTTCTTCCTCTTTGATACTGGCTGGAGTTTGACTGGAAAAGGAGCTGCCGCTGCCGCTGCTGTTGCTGGGGCTGGCGTTGCACTCCTGTGCTTCCTGCATTTTGGAGTAATAGGCAAGTTTCTGCTCAAAGAAAAAACAAAGCAATTCATTTTAAAGGAGGTTGTCATTTGGGTTCAGACTGCACTTCCCACTCGCTCCCTGTTCCCTAAGGTACCCAGAGGGCACCTGACATTAGCATCTAAGCCCTATAAACCCAGAAATCACATGGGCCACACAGTCAACAAATCTCCCAAACTGCAACAAACAGGCTGGTGACTGATCTTGATGCCACTTTTGCTCCAGTATTGTTTGCGCTACAGGAAGAGCTCTCTGTCAAGGTGAAGGTAACAGAAGACACCAAAGTGTCTTAGGGTATGAGTTGAACTTGACTGAAGAGGCGGGCTCAGAGCTGATATATTTTTAAAATCATGCTCCATGGGTAAAGGGCACCCAAGTCCAATTGGGGCCTGGGTCAAGGGCACAAGATGCTGGATTAAGCATCTTCATGATGGAACATGAAAATATCAAAACCTAATCCATGCTATCAAGAATAAAAAGGAAGAATAGAGGAGGGGTAAGGTATGGAGGAACACTGTGATGTGGATCTTTGAAATAAACAGATATTGATATTCATTGGATCACCAATATGCAATTTAAATGACAGTCTGTTTTAAAGCAGATCATTTTATGGGTAAGGAAAGAACTCAATGAGCTGCACACATTTCTAACCTCACTATATCTGTGCACATTGAAGAAATAATTTTTTAAAAAAGCTAGTAAGATTAAGAAGCCTCTGAGATTGGGTAATTAAAAATATTCTACTGATTGTGATTTTACAAATCAAGTGTAATTGCTTGAAATAGTTTCTAGAAATAAGGAATAATCTGAATGCAGTGTTAAAGCAGTGAAGGCCTCTAAGGGACCCTGTCATATGAAAGTGACCAAATTTTAATATAATAGATTAGACCAAAGTCAAGGATGAGAAAGAAACAAGAGAAAAACCAACCTATCTTTCCTTTGCAATAGTCCCAGACAGGAAAGAAGCTCATTGCAGATCCTAAACTCTCATATTATTTTAGCAACATCAACACATCTTCTGCACTCCCACTTAAACTTCAAGGAGGATTCTACTGATTTGTACAATTAGTATGAGACTGAAACTCTCTTTTGGAATATTTTTAAAAAGAGAGAAGAAAGCGAAAAAGCAGAACCTACCCATTCCATCATTAATTCACAAGAACACCTCCAAATTCTGAATTAGGCTGCTATTGGGGTATAATTCAATCTCCTGGAAGCAAGAGTCACTCAATTTCAACCTGGTCTGGCCCTCACAGCCACTTACACCACTTTCCACCTTTCTACATTGTATTTTGTTCTGGGCTGCTGTTCTCATAAGCTGAGGAAATGGAAAGAAATACCAGGTACATCCCTCATTCAAGAGCAAAGAGAAATTGGAATAATTAAACAAAAGCGAACAGTTTGCAGAACCTGAATTAACTGGTCTTAAAGTAGATCTATTGAAGACAGAGCCGACATACACACCTAGCGAAGCTAGAGAAAGGCAGATATTTACCTTTTCCCAGCCAGTCTTGTTCCAGCAATACTCTCCAGAACTTTGCAAAGTTAAGATGATACAACTAATGTTTCTTCTCCCCATCCCCCCTCCCCAGTACTGTTCTCTTTGTAACGAATCGACGGTTTGGGGAAGAATTGTCCTGGTCACTGAAGAACTGAAACGGATATGCCTCAGATAAGATAAGATTGCAGAGGGGAGAAGGCGGATGGATGCACATTAGAAAGAGAGAGAAAGGCCTTTGCTGTCACTCTTTAGCTTTGGGACTTAAATTCGATTTTTCTCCGCCCCCGTTTTGGTCTCATCTCTCCGCACCCTCACCTCCTGGAAGAGTAATCTAGAGGCCAAGCGGCTTTAAATAGGAAACAATCCAGTCCTCGCGGTCCTAACTCATCCGATGATTCCCAGGAAGACCCGGCACGCATTAGCGGGGCTTAGCTGTCTTCCCGAGAGTGCAAACCGGCAAGCTAGTGGGGTTAACGCAACCGACCGGGTAGCCGCGCCGGCGATCTTCGCATCCCGAAGGCGCCCGCCCCTGATCTGACGCCCAGGATCCACGTTGAGGCAAACCTCAGGCACCCGCAGAGCTCGGGGAAGAAGGAACGTTCCCTCGATCTCGGAAATCGCCGCCCGGAGGAGACGGAGACGGGACACGTACCTGGTGGTAAGGGGTGTAGGCGGTTGCGAAGTAAGGCTGCGGAGGACCATAGACTTGGTACATAACATCCAAACAGCTCATGGCTCCCCGCAGCCGAGACGGGTACGTGTTTTATCGTCAGCTCCTGGTCGGTGCCACGCTGGGATGCTGCATGGGCGGCGCTTGGACCGGCGCTCCCGAGTCATGGGCGCTCGGCGGCTCGGGATCCCATCCGCGCGCTCCCCTCCCACCCCTGAAATTCCAATCCCGACCGCGCGCCGGGACGGAAGCGCCCGGGCTCCCGCTAGTGGGCATTTAAACCCCACGGGCAGAGGGCGTGCTGACGCCACCCTCGGCGGCCCGGCGGGGGCTCGGACCCAATGGGGATCGAGGGACCAGGGATCCGGGACTCTAGGAGGTATTTTCTTCTGGATGCCTAGCTACAAATTCAGTGCCCAGGGGTGAGACGAACCGCGCACTTGCCAGCTCAGAACTCCGATCCGGAGGTATCATACTGCAAGGAGTCAGGGCGAGACGAAGAGGAGGAAAGGAGGGAGATGGATGGAGAGGAGAGAAACGGGGGTTCTTACAGTGAAACCAAGAAAGCTGATGCATGGTTTGGGAAAGGTCTGTGAGGGAGTCTCCGACACACAGTGTAGAGTCTAATGTGTGCGCCTAGGGGTGATGGGGTGGACATGGTCTCTGCTCTTGCCTCCCCTGTATGTTGGAGGGAAGAATCTTAAACGCTGGAGTCCCCCTAGAAGATCCCAGTCCTTGCAGACTGGATGCAGGAGTCTGGGGCTTCTCCGCGGTGCAGAGAGGAGCTCCCTCTGCGGGGAGAACTGGTGGCTGAAGCTTCTAACCGCTTGCCCTGCTCCACCTCCAGTGCGCAGCTGGACCCTGGTCATAGCTGCCAGCTCTCGCATCTCACTTCTGCCCTTCTTGCGGCCACTCCCGCCCCTTTCTTTTGAAGTCCTGCACCAGGCACCCGAAGGTCCGCATTTTTCTCGCGTGATCTCTAATTCCTCTTTGTGCGGGCTGCTTTAGAGCGGTCCAGGAGCCTTTACTCAACCCTCAGCCGCCCCAGCGACTTTTAACATTTGGGGAACTTTGGGGGAGGGGGAGGGGACAGGAACTCCTTGGTTCCAAAAGGAAGCATCCCAGAAACGCAGGGAGGTCAGTGGACTTTTGCTTCCTTCACTGTGATGTTAATAGAGCAGCTGTGATGTTCTCCTTCATTTTAGAGAGATGAAGGAGGGTGCATATGAGTTGGGAAGCGCACAACACCTTTTACTGTCCTGCCAGAGCGCTCCTTCCCTCACTATCTGTATTTTCCTTAAACCACCTGCAGACCCTAGGCAACGCCACACTTTTAGGAATGAATTGGTGTAAAGTTCAGGTAAAAGAAAGTGTATGGGGGAGCGGGGTAGGGGGAGAGGGGGAAGCCAGACGTGTGGGGCTGCTCATGTTGGAGCTTTAAGATGCCAGGGAAGCATCTGGAGATGCTAGGAAAGAAGCATCATGAACTACCTACGCAGTCAATTCTGTTGTTGCTCAGTTTAAATCCAACAAAACATCTGACAACAATTCTCAGGCTGTCACATTGCAAACAAAGGCGCCCTTAAAAAACATATTTAAAGTACAAACATATATTCATGTCCTTAACTCTTAAATGTTTAAAGACATCTCAGGGGTAGATGTTTTGCTGTGCTAAAGATTTATACATACATATAATACTTTCATATATCCACTTCGGTTTATGCAAAGTGGTGAGTGGTCCAGAGCGCTTGGAGAATTTTTCCCCGGGCTGTTTTTATTTTTAAAGTAGGACTCAGTCTATCTAGTCTATCTTAATGAAAATTAAAGTTAAAACAGAGCTAGACTTCCGTCCAGTTTTGCCTCATTTTCGAGGCCTCTTGTCTTTGTTGATTGGTGTGTATTTGAAGCCTGAGATTCTCTAGGCTCAGGGCGAACACGGGCATGTCCTCATCACTCTCCCAGTGCTCCCTGCCCATAGAGTTCGAAGGGCAGACAGACTCCTGCCTGCACGCCCTCGGGGGCAAAGGTGCGGACCTTTCGAGAACTGCTGAACGGATGGGTGGACGTAGGTCTCCTTCTTGCTGGTGCAGCCAGAGGAGAGTATGCAAAGCTGACATACTGTCCGCAGCCCTTTAGTCCTGGGACAAATCACTGGCCGCCATCCTAGCTCAAGTGCAAAGGGCTACTGCCTCCAGGACAGATGTCGCACGGCGAGGGCCCTCTTCAGGTCACACCCTCTTCGAAAACTCCGCTGCATACTTAGACACGGAGATTGTACTTGACGTGGAACTGCTGACATCTCCGTGGGCTGGGAGGAGATGTCACTGCAGAAGAGAGCTAGTCTCCTCAGTGCAGAAAAGAGCTGGTCCCCCGCGCACTGCAAGATTTGCAGTATGGCTCAGAAGGCCGCTGGGGGCAGGAGGCGCGAGGCGCGAGGGGAGCCCAGGACCCTATAGCGCACCTCCACAGGGGCTTAGGAAGTTCGACCTGCTTCACTTTCTGGCGCCAAGACGCGCCTCCTACCACCGCGTCTGCTCGCGTAGACATTTGTGTTTCACACTGGCCATTTGATTTCACAATCAAAGTAAGAGAAAAAAATAACGGTAACCTTTCCAAACAAATTTAGGTCCAGCAAAATACATTTTTTTAAAAAAAAGTTAATTTTGAGAAGGGTTACAGTAACTGTAATTCCCCACATTTTGGAAGAAGAGAAAAAAAAATTATGCTATTTTCCCAGGGCTGTTTTCTGTTCATGCTTCTCACTCTCTTTTAATTGGAAAAGAGTCTAAAACGAGCAACATTCTGTGAAAATAAATTATCTCTGCCTGCAGAGAAGGAAAAAGAAATACAGAACACTGATCTTGAATTTCTTCAGGAAAACATTAGCCTACCCCAAATCTAAAATGAAGGAAGAAAAATTAGTAGTGTAGACATAGTATTAAAAATGTTCCTAAGGATCTGATCTAAGTATGTTTAATCTTTTCTGCATATCTTTTACAAGAGGATGGTATTTCTCAATCTGATGAGATCATCTCTTGTTTCCATGCTGAAGCAAAAAAAAAAAAAAAAAAAAAAGGAAACCCTAAATGGAAATTCCTAGACTCTCCCAAATAGTCAAATTGGACATTGATGGTTCTTTGTTAAAGTCATGTTTTGATTCAGAATATCAGCAGGCAGTCAGGTGAAAACTAGAGGGAGAGGAAACTCTCACCACTTCCTCTCTATTCTTTTCTGCCAGTTATTTTATTGTTGATTTTTGTTTTAATTTTTTTATTATAACTTGGATTAGAAGATTGCCCAACTAGATGGTAATACTCTGCAAAGTTACTGCAACCTATCACTACCAAAGGGTCAATATCTGACACCTCTATTCCTGTATCACCTTAAGTCCAGGCAAGACACTGCAAACCAGTTAAATGTCTTTAAAACTTGGGGTTCCCTACAAATTTTATCGGTAATCCCAGAAATATCAGTTACTACCAAGTACATATCATTTAATTGCCCTAAAAGCTCTTAATTGGTCAGAGGAAATATGAAAATAATCATATGAAATATGAAAATAATGTGAGAAATGTATTTTTAGTCATGATAATTTTGCAGCAACTTACTGAGTTTTCAGTAACATTTGTCATATAAAAACCTAGTGAATCTCACCAAAAGATTCTTTTAGAACCCTGATTCTATGATGCAATCTGAAATGTGTCTTCTTCTTAATAAATGAAACTAAAATGCTTTTCAATTAATGCATTTTAAGACAGCATAAGAAAATATTTTCTCTTTGCCCCCTGCCCAATTTTTTCTTACTGATTTTAATTGTCTTCTGAATCTTTCTGTCTGCCTGTGTTATTATTCTGAGAACTATAAAGAAGAAGTTTTAAAAATTTATTTAGATTTTAGGCCACATCCAGTGGTACTAGAGGCTTATTTCTGGAAATGCACTCAGGGATCACTCTTAGCAGGTTGGGGGAACCATAAGTGGTACTGTGAATCGAACTCAGTAATGTGCAAGGCAAGTGCCCTACCCACTATATTATGACTCCAGCCCAAAGCAGTTTTATTATTATCAAAAATTGTTTAATTGAGATTCTGTGGTTTATAATATGATTAATGTTGATTTCTCATGCACATGTAGTGCTGGTAATTCCAACACCAAACCCACCACCAAGGAAGCAGTTTTAAAGGAAGGGTGAATGAATAAAACTAAGTTGGAGAGTTGCCTGAAGCCAGCCCAAGTTCTCCTTAGATAGCTCATGGTTCATTTGGATCATTATGTGTTGGCTTATACCTTCATCTGCCATTCAAAGGGAATGAAGAGAATGATGATTTCATAGATTTATTTTTAACCCCTAAAGCAGAGGTGCCTTTGGAATTTGGAGAGTAGCTGACAAGAGTTTGTGGATTCAAACTATTAATAGTACTAGTTGAAAGCATGTCTTGCAAAAACTATGTTTTTCAGGTTTTACTTAGAAATGGCACTCTAGTAACTAAAGGAGAGTATGAATGGTGATTTTATTTTATTTTATTTGCTTTTTGGGTCACACCCGGCGATGCCCAGGGGTTACTCCTGGCTCATGCACTCAGGAATTGCTCCTGGCGGTGCTCGGGGGACCATATGGGATGCTGGGAATCGAACCTGTGTCGGCCATGTTGGCTGCGTGCAAGGCAAACGCCTTACTCGCTGTGCTATCGCTCCAGCCCCGGTGATTTAATTTTAAAAACTAAGATAATGATAGAAGACGAAAGGAGAAATTCCTATTGTCTAAAACTTCCCCAAACTAGTCTAAATGGAAGATTTCTAGTTTGACTTAATGGAACTCTTTTGATAAGAAAAAGAAGATTAAATTGGTTTTTTATGCAAATTGCATTAGTTCCTAACAGTTTTTTCATGCAAAAATCTTCCAGGATCTAATTTATAGACTCTTGATAAACAATTTTGTAATTTTACTGACATATATTTGTCTATTAGAAGAATGTAAAACAAGGACCAGAGAGATAGTACAAGATCTTGCATATGACTCAACCTAGTTTAATTTCTGCACCACCAAGAGTAACCCCTGAATTGA